ATACGGTGAATCACTAATTTACCGACCATCGTACCTACATATCGAAGCGCTCCGGACTTGTACGAAAAAAAAATTTTTTAGAGAACCAAAAAAAAATAATTTGTTCAACTAACTCTTTCTTTTAATATAAACTGAACCATATCTAAACTAACTCTTTCCTTTTTCTTAAACTGAACTACACCTAAACTAACGCCTTCCTTCTTCTTAAAGTGAACCGTACTGGTGACCTTTAATATACTTTCATACACCTAAAATTTCCTTCCTCTTAAACTGAATTCTTACTTCGATATAATGAAATATATACCTCCTTCGTTATTCTCTATTGAAATTGAACGTAAAGTGAATGTAAGGTACACGTGAACTATTTATTTCTTTTTCCTGATACTGAATTCGAACGGACCGAACTATATTTTTCCTCTTTTCTTTTATCTTTAAGTCGAGCATAAAATAAATCTGAAGTACACCTGAAATATTTACTTTCTTTTTTCCAAACTGAACTGTAACTGAAATGTAATCAACGAGATATCTCCTTTCTTTCTAGACTCTTCGAATAGAAAATAAAAAAACTTACGTACACTACACTTAAACCGATTGTTTCCTTTTCCTCAAACAGAACTCTAACTTAAAACTATTGAACGAGATTTCTACTTTTCACTTCTGCTCAAATATACAGAATGCAACTTCCGGGATTCGATTCCCGAAGCCAGACTTTTATCTCCCAATTTTTTTTTTCCTTTTTTTTCTTTCTTTTATTAGAAATCGAAGCGTAAACAAAGCTCATACGTCCCCGAATAATAATTACTTAAAGCATATAAATTAAAAGTCTCCCTAAAGCTCTTCGCACTTGGAAAATTGCAACATCCGGTGTTCGAATACCAGCGCCAGATTTTTTCCTCCCAATTTTTTTTTCATTTTTTCTTTTTTTTCTTTATCAAAATTGAATCGTAAACATAAAACTCATGTGTCCCCGTGACCCCGATCGCAATTATTGAAAACGATAAAAATTAAGACTCGCCCAAAAGCCCGTTGCGCTTAACAACCGTAACTCCATTGTACACGATGCTATATTGCACTAATTCCATGACAAAAGTTGTTAAATATTTTTTTATTAGAACTAAATATATTTCTCCTTCTTTCTTGTCTTCTAAATTGAAAGTAACATAAATGTAAAGTACGCCTGAACTATTTATTTCCTTTTTCTTAAACTGAAGTCTAACTTAAACCTAACCAACTATATTTTTTCTTTTTTCTCCTCTGTTCAAATTGAATGTAAAATAAATCTAAAATAAATCTAAAATATTCTTTGAATACATTGGTCTGTTTGGCACATTTAAAAAAACTTTAAAATAACAAATACCGTGCCTATTTTATTCATAAATAACTTTAAAAAATCTATTATTATTGTTACACGGCACGAAAGTAAAAATATTCTTAACGAACATCTTTCCAATTTTATTAAGGTCCGATATTCCGAGAAGTACTGAACTGCAACGGTAATAACCTTGTGAAGCCTATGAAGGACAATTTTTAATAGAAACAAAATGCTCACAGCCATTACCTAGACACAATAGTGATATACAGCATCCACCATAAATAATACCGTAATATAAATTTTACCCATCATAAATTGTACCGTAATTTAAGTTTAACTTTATATAAGTCTTATTATTACCGTTTAGGATCACCTGATAGGGAGGATTGCCTGATAGGGAAAATCAGGTTCAATAAGCAAGCTTGAACAAAGTCCGAGATATAAAAGCACTCGCTCGATACGTCTCGACAGTTATTTTCGAACAGTTCTTCCTCACTATTCTTTCCCGTCAGTTCGATTTCGCCACAGTAAACGTGAATAAATCTCATCAGAATAAAACCTCGTGACTTAGTCAATCACGCATATTATTCGATCACGAAAACTACATCGAAGTCCAAGAAAATACAAATACCCCAACTATCCTTACCAACGTAACTGTCCGTAAAAAAGGCGGACTGAACGGAGACGACTTTCGTATCTGCGAATCCGCGTCGTAACAATTATTAAAACACATTGGTATGCTTGATACAATTTACAAAATAAAACTTTAAGATAAAACTTTAAGATAATATACAAATATTACAAGTATTTCATTCGTAATTAATAAAGTTTTATAACTAAAGTACAATACACGATGTTAGATATGTAAGATTACATAATGTACTATGCTACGACTAAAGAAATTATTCATGTATATACCAATTAAAACTGAAATTATTCATGTATATACCAATTAAAACATTTTGCGTTTCTTCCTTTAAATCTTCTAATTTTTCCACTATTTGTAATTGTAAAATAATAATAAAAATAACAACTATAATATATCATTGATACAAACATAATATAAAACGTAATTTACTTTGGCAGCTGCAATAATCCATGTCGCAGTTTTTTTACTCAAATATGGGATTTTATTTTGCAAATCCAGTAGTTGAGCTTTAATCTGTACTGTTCTAAACCCCGCGTTAAACAATTGACGTGCTCTACCCTACAAAATGGAATAATATTGAGGAATAATTCAAATAAATTATTACTTTAGCTTGTAGGTAAAAAAATATTCTTACAATTTCTAAGACAAATCCATCGATGCCTCTAATTTCAGAGGACAACGATATGATAATCTTTTATTAAACATATTTAATAAATCTTTAAATGCTCAAAATTTATCCAATTCCTGGAATATTCGTTCATTGAAATTTTAGGAAATATTATATACACTGCACTTACTAACTTGACAAAATCGAATCACAGAAGATGCAAACGATGATACAGCAGTCAAAAGATTTTGTACAATACCTCTATTTATTTCATATTTTTGTGCTATAGCCTGCTATATACTGCATGTTGAAACCACAACGATACTAGTTGAGATCATACGATACTAGTGTTACATAAAATCTGTGAATCACAGTCGGTTCCACATCCTATTAAATCCTATAAAATACTTTGTAATATAAAAATAAATCTGATGCGAATGAACTGATAAAAATTTAATATTGGATTAGTGCATAATTATTGCGGCTTTTTTCGAGACTCCTTTAATCTTTGAAAATTGGCATTTTGTTTATTTATTTTTCACAATAATAATCCTCTCTTTTCAGTAGTGAAAATTCGTATCAAAAATCATATCCATATTTGTCATATTATGCTCTACCACTTCGAGAAAGGTTGGAATGCAACCCAGTCATTTCGCGATCTCAACGAACTTTTTGGCGAAGGAACAATCAGCAAAAGCCAAGTTGAAAGATGGTTTAAGAAGTTCAAATCGGGCGATACAAACTTCGCAGATAAAAAAGCAAGAGGTCGACCATCGAATTTCGACGACCAGGCACTTTTGGCAACCGTGGAAGAGGACGAAAGCTTGACAACGAGAATGTTGGCCGAAGACTTCAATGTGGACCATTCAACCATCGTTCGTCGTCTCAAGAAGCTCAGAAAAGTAATTTGGAAATTAATTAGATGGGTCCCCCACGAACTCTCCGACCATCTACTTCAATTACTGTTTCCCATTTGCTTGGCAGCCGGTCGATTCCACGAGCGAAGAAGTTGCTGTTCTTAGAGGCAATCCACTCTTTAACGGCGGCTACCAAGTCATCCAAATTGTCAAGCTTTCGAACGACTACGCACAAACCTTGAGCAATAATCCATTATATATTTGATCTATATTTGCTTCGTTAATTCCTAGAAGTCTAGCTGTTTTCATTTGCGTTTCTGATAAACTAATTATCTATAAATATTATGAAAATATATCAACAGAAATAAATTGTAATAAAAATTATAAGTTAGAAGTTGCCACATCGTAATAAATTAATTCCGTTAATATTATCTGAGATATTAAATCGTAAGTAACAAGATATAAAAGATACAAATAATCAATAAGAATTAAATATTCTTGAGCCTTTTTAAAATCTTGATATGCACACTGCATATCAATGCAAGCTTTGACATAAAAACATATATAAAAAAAATAAATTACTAAGTAATAGCTATTAGCAATAAAATTTTTAAACTTTTATCTTTTATAGCTGCACGTCCAAGACTACATAAATCTAATTCAGTTTCATTAATAAATTCTAATATTCTTTTTCCTTTTGTATTTTTTTTTTTTTTTTTTTTTTTTGATGTGTGTGTCGTTAAAAACATATCTTGTGACGGAGAAACAACACATATTTGGTTTGAATTTGCAAAATTTTTTTCTTTTTTCTTTATTTTCATAACACTAGCTTTTAGAAATTCACTTACTGTTTCATTCGCGATTTGTTTAATATTCACATTTAAATGTTTTTGCTGAATATTAATGTGGGTTGCTAAAGAACCAAGCGTTTGTTTTAATCGTCGAGATCCTCGACGGCTTATCTCTTTGAGGATAGTCGTGATCGACGTGCGCTGGAGATAAGACCGAATTAAAAATAAATATATATATTAATTCCTCTGAACGACGATTCCTACATTAAGTAATGTCTTTTTGACTATTTTGTGTTATTAAAATCTAGTCGTCACTATAATATAACACTTTAAAAATTAAATTATTTATACTTCTATCTCTTTCCACGTGTATCGTACTTAAGGAAATCATCCATTTTAAATCTTAAAAGTTCTGTTACCTGATTACATGAATATCAGTGATGTGAACAATAATATTTTTTTTATTTATTTAGTAGACGTACATATCTAATAGAGATACATGAATATTATCTTTTCTAATTCATTATTTTTGTATATAAGTATACTTTCTCCTATATTTCCCATACGAGCCCGACCAGTTCTTCCTACCATTTGTTTGTATCTACTTAAATTTAGAAACTGCCAACATATAGACTTCTCTTGTTATTTCTTTTTTTTTATAAGAACCAACAATAATTAACTACTGCTTGAAAAACAAATAATAAATAAAGTACCCTTCTGGCTGGTAAATTTACTCTAGCTGCTAATGTTAGTGTACAACATATTACACATAGAGTAAACACACTTGCTTTAAAATAATCATCTTCAGATGTAAAGCATGTAAAGTAATAATAAGCCACACCTACTTTTATGGTTTTGTGTAAGATAGGACAAAAGCCTTCTTCGTTTTTAAGTGCATTTAATAAATTTTCCTTTTCAACTTTTTTGTAATCTTTGAATGATCTAAAAATTAGTACATACATAATTAATAAAATCTATGATAATACATATGTATTTAAAATATAAAATGAAATTCTAACTTGAATAAAATTCTAGACAGACTAACAGAGCGAAATTTTCAATTTTTTCGACTCGAGTAAAGTATGAGACATTTTCTGGAACTACATCCATTACCAAAGCTACGATTCAATCAAGATCTACCATTGCCGCGTCATTTGAATACTTTTAAAACAAATAAATAATAATTAATAATTACTTGATAATTATATAAAACGGTAAAACATTAACTTACCTGATAATTAATTTTGTTTACATCTGTTAATAATTTTTCCATTTTAAAATCAAGTAACCAAATATTTTCTTCATATTTCACATATTTCTACAGGACGAAAATTTCCAGTATATAACTTCGCATTTAAGAATGTTGCTATTTCCTCTAAGTTAATTATTGTTGAACTCACTGCAACAATATGAATATTATCATTAACATACAATATTTTTGTTAAAAGAACTCCCAATGTAACCCCTCTGCCTCCACTTTCTCCGAGAAGATGTAACTCGTGAACAACTATAATATCAATTTTGTTCAAACGATTTTCTTCTATTAATGCTTTCTCTATAGTACACATACATATGCTATTTTTTTACGACTATATATGCTATTTTTTTTTTATCTGTTTTGGAGGGTAAGTTTCTTTTGATGCTGCATATTCTTTGACTAAAAAATTTAATTCAAGTGCGAATGGTGTCATTGCTCGAACTTAAAAGTTATAAATAAATATATACTTCTTATAATTAATTATTATAAAAATTGTACAGCGAACATAATATTATACTTACTTTTTCTTGCACTATAGCAACGAATGGCAATACAAATGCATTTCGTTTCTTACATATAAGTTCTTGAAACATAATATTTCTGCAACCAATGTTTTACCCCCACTAGTGGGAAGTGCATAAATTAAATTTTTCCTGTTTTTCACTGCATCTAAATTCAAACATTCATCTTGTCATTCTAAAAGAAATAAATGACAAATATAAACATCATAGGAATAAAAATAAAATTTATAAATTTATAAACTTATTAATAATGAATTATGCTTTCATTCAAAAGCATTCTGTATAAAATTTAAAGCATTTCAAAAAATATGAATTTGTTTTCGATATTATGCTCTAATTATTTTTTTTATTCAGAATAACACAGAAAAACATAGAATAACATAGAAAAAATTCAATCGTAGAGATCCATTTAAAAAACAATGCATTTTTGTGAAAAATCACACTACACGATGATAGAACTTCATAAATAATGTCTACTAAATTCGCATTTATTTATTACGATTGTATGTATGTACATACAATATGTATGTTTGCTTGGAATAGTGTCACGGGATTCAATTCAAGAAATATATAATTTTCGAGAAAACGGCAATATTGTCTATATGTTTTGATTTTATTTTAATTTCTATCGCCAATGGCGCTGTGGTGTGATACTTGCCTAAATCGATATCCTATCAGTCAATGCTAATAGCACAGACAAAGTATGTAAGTACCATATACCTCGTCTGTGGCAATGTCTATTCATATACCTGGTCTTTAATCAATGATCATAGTGGAACTATTGATCAATGCATGTCTCTGGTTTCTGACTATGGCTGTTGATCTAACAGGGTGCAGCCAATCACTGACTGCCTTTTCATTGGCGATTATGCGCAGTCGCAAGCAGACTGCGTTAGGTGGAGAGAATAATGATGGTGGTGCCGACAAAATGGCCATGAACACCAACTTTATAACTGAAAAAGAAGCTACGTCACAGTTTCAAGAAATTTATGCATCGATTGAATTACAGAATATAAGATTTATGTATTTATCACAAAAAAATGAATAAAAATGAATTTTATAAGTTACAAAATTTGGAAATAACGATAATTACTCGTATCTTTTTTTTATGATTTCGTTTTATGTTTTATTTTCTATTTTCAACAATTATTTCTTTAAAATTTTTTTTTTAATTATATTTTTAAATGATAATTATTTATTTGATTCATATTTAACCGTCATTATTTAATGTTAAAATTATTAATCCAATGATCTAAAAAATGACAATGTTGATATGTATATTGTATCGCAAACCGTGCGATCATTGGCAACCGTGGAACATATAGGTATATCTATTTCTATGCATAAATTATTGGACACTTAATGCAATACCATTAAAAATTAATTGTTTTGTCACGTTCCTATAGATACTATTGATTTTCTATTATTAACATCTTCAAGTTTTATATTTATTTCTAATAAACATCAAAAAAATGCTTCATAAAATCTCTATAAATTCTTTCAATCCGATTAGAAACATATATTTCAATCATTCCAAAATTTTAACGATGAACTTATAACCTTCAACTACCTAATTATTAACTATACTTAAAATATTAACTATACTTTTTTTATCAATGTCAGATTAAAGAGAGATTCATTTCAATTGTATTTTATATTGCAATAGTCCTAAAATATCTTTAAATATCTCGTAAATATTGTTGGATTCCGCGTAAAAGTACGACACTTATACTTTATTCTACGAGATTTTATTCTACGTTGCAATATTCTACGTGGTCAAGGATGATGCATGTACAAAGTGTTCCTGAAAAAGAGTGTTTTCTCTTCTCAGCATATCTTTTTATGTTTTAGTCTATGATAAATTGAAAAAACAGGAAAAGAAACGTGGATGATCAATTTCTGGAATTTGCCATATAAGTGTTAAATAGGTCACTTTCGGAGGACTATTACTGACACATTGTCAATATTAACACTGTGAGGTAATATTGTTAGGTTTGGTTAGTCATTCAACAATATTAATAAAATCTTCAAAAAAAAATAGAATCTGTATTTAGTATTTGATAAAATTTCACATTTTGCATAGAAAATGATACTCATTCGACATACCTATCTACGAAGTGAATGTCACTGCTACTTTTCATACTATTCAATTGTTATGACGGAATCTTACAAAGTGGAAAGCTGTGACAAAGCTAGTGGATAAATGATCAATTAAATATATATGCAGATATTTACACTCTAGTCCATTGATGTTCAAGATATTTTTTAGTTTCAAACAAAATTGCAATAAAATTGTTTTTCGGACTTTGTTTCTAACGACCTTGACGAATGTTATCATAGCCACCTTCTTGACTGATCGAATACTTTAACTTGCTGTTTGTTGTACTTCGAAAAGATAATGAGGCTTAATATAACCTTCAAAATATTCGACATTTACTGTATCAATAAATCGTATCGATTTTATGGTCCTATATTATTCTACACAATGCAGGGATCACGAAAAACACTATTTTTTTATATATATAATAACGATCTAATATTATTTATCAATCATCAAAAATTACGGACCTCCGGTTCGATATGAAGTTTTTATATATATGACATACACGGTGTCAATATTTTATGTCGACTGGTTTTAAATTATTCTATATAACGCAACGATTACGTAGAACGCAAATTTTTAATTTAATATAACTAATAATCCAGTATAGTTTATCCTCGCATAATACGGACGTCCAGTCCATAAGATAAGGTTCATACATGACCATCGAAGAGATATAGGAATAGACCAAGCATCTTACGGAATGATCTGTGATCTCATGACCCGTGACCTGAAATACATAAGCATAGTAGATGAAATCATTGGTTTTTTCGCACATTCTACGTTTAAACAACTGTGAGTTGGGAAACTAGAAGTTGCACCAGCAATATAACCTTTGAGACCCATTACAGTGTTGTCAAACTTTCAGTACGTGGAATGTAAATCTCTGTGCCTATACCAAGTAAAATGATACAAGCAAAATGTTTAATTGTATCTCCAGATTCCAAAACACGAGATCACTTTTTAAAATTATTCCATTTTTTATTATATATTTATGTGTGTGTCAGAAAGAGACCTATTCGTGTTTTACGAATTTATCGATTGGTTTTTCGTTTAAAACGATAAAATTGTTACTTATAACAGGATGTTTTATTTATTGAAACATTCTTAGGGAGATATATTTGGACCTGATACTTAGTCAAAAAAGGAAACATAGAAGAGATCTATCATTTTATCAAATCACACGTTTTGAAATATCCATCAAAATCTAAAGTCTGCGGCATTCGACAATATTTACAAATGCACTATACGTAATTATGAAAAAATTCAATCTATAATTTTAAAAGTCAATTCGCTAACAACTCAACAAATACTTTAATTACATAAAAACTACATTAAAATCGTGATCGCAATCGATTAGATCATGTTATTTGTTATAGAACTCATAATTGTATCGCAGAAATACAATTAGTAATTATATCATAAATAACAATGACTGCCCTGGTTTCATTACGTTGAGATTGCTACATACCGAAATCCATCTTTGTCCCACTCTGTCTTCTTTCACTTTAAAACAAATTTATTCAAAAAAAGTCCTCCTTTTGATATGCAAAACTCCTTCGAGACGCCTTTTGATATATAATTGCAAAATGTTCACAAATTCTTATTACTGTGCAAGCGAACAGCAAAAGTAGTTTTAAGAAAAAAGATGAAAAGTAAGCCAAAGCACAATACATTAAAATACACATGAAGGTTCAATTAGAAAATTATAACTAAGTTACAATATTTAAAATACTTTACATATTTAAAGAAAAAATAAAAATTTTTTCGCATGTATTAATTATAGCAATAACCATTCTATAGAATGTGCTTACATTGAATTTACAGATATTAACTATCTTGTGATTAACTTAAAACTAAGATGCACGCATCCCACGATCCCTCTGCGAGATCCCTCGTCGTCCCACGGTCCCTCGCTGGGGAGTCTAACATTTTACTTATCAACTAATTGTCCCTCCAATTCAGTTTAGATCGTGAAATAAAGAATATAAAGGACAATCTAAACTTGCACAATCTAAACTGAACTGTAGGCTGCGTAGTTCTTAGCTTGATATTACAAACATGTTTGTTTTTAATGTAATTTTAATTTTACAAACATTGAAGTTTACCGTTTATCGTTTTACAACTTAGCTTGGTGACGTTGATGATTTTACAAACATTAAAGTTTGTAAAACGATATCACCCAAGACCCACCACGTGGAGGTCACTACGCACTCTCATTATAGTGTATTGTAAATTAGTACTGTTTTATGTTTATATATTTATCACATGAATTTTATAGTTATATTTATATATTTATCACATGAATCACGATTTACACTTGTATTAAATTCAAGTAATTTGTTTGGAAGAGAAATAATATTCATAAAATAGAACATAATTGTTTGATCAATTTAATAACTAATTTAAGATATTGAATAAACATTCTTGTTTGACTAAATTATTTTAGATTCAAAGAGAAGTAGTGAAAGTATCCAATAATATTTAAATAGCAATAGTATTGTTAGACTAATATTTTCTATGTATATATGCAGAAATGTAACATATATTACGATAATTGCGAAAGAATAGTAAATCAAAGTATATCTTGTACGATTGCGATACAAGTCGTGGCAATTGAACTTGTATTGAATTCAAGTTCAAATAATCATGATCATTGTATTAACCTATCAAAAAAACCATGCAACTTACCGATCGGTGAAGTCAGAATTGTAATGTTTCGCTGCGTTGGATTTGATTATGTTCGATGCCTCGGAACTTCTTCAATACTGATGCTTCTGCTTCTCATACTCTCTTCAGCAATGTGCGTTTGAACACAGTTCACAATTTCACTTTTGTAACACTTTTATCATTTTCACTTTCAACATTTTTAACATACTTTAAATATTAGATAATGTTTGAACAACTAGAATATTCAAAAATATTATTTAAAAATTCACTTCTAAAATTTAATTAAGGCGTACGCGACGAAAGTTCAATTCGTAATGAGCTCTTGTCTTCGTATCGATCGACATTAATCCGATTTTTCGGTCGTTAATGGTGCGAAACGGTTAATTCAAATTTTTTAGAAATGTATTAGTGACTCGATTATTACAAATGATTAAAAATTTTAAGTAGTTACTTAGAAATGTTACAGAAGAGAATTTATTGTTCAATTGTTACAAATTAATTATTAAAAATATTAGATGACGTTTAAACAATTAGAATATTCACAAATTATATTTAAATCTCACTTCGAATGTTTGTTCGAATCGTGCACACAATGAAGGTTCAACTTATAATAACCTTTTTCGCTGCTCAACCTTCAAAAAAATCAATGATGCACAACAGCTGGTAGTCTTTATCAATACTTCAAAAAAACACTTTTTCCATTGAAATAACGTTGAATTTCTCTGTTTCGACGATGTTTTCGTAAAATATTCATATTTTTCGTTTGAAAATCAACGAAACTTGCTACTTTTATAGAAATTTCGTAGATTTCACGACGGAATACTGAACTATGTTCAATTTCTCTGTTTCGACGATGTTCTCATGAAATATTCATATTTTTCGTTGTAAATTCGTGATCAAAATTTGCTATTTTTATAGAAGTTTCGTATTTTTCACGACGAAACACTGAACTACGTCTAATACCTCTGTTTGAA